CTGAAAAAGTCAGAGTTCGCTGTATTAGAAACAATGTAACAGCCTGGTATTTGCCACTGTTATGACTGGCAGATTGGCTAAACTGTTGCATTTATTTGACTCTGAGGAAACGAAAATAATCGTAACATCAAGTGCTGAATATTTTATATCAAGGGAAAGGAAATGTCCGAAGTGACATTTACATCTGACGTCAGTCATCATTATCAAGTGCCTTGCTGACTGGCGTGGGTGATCCTGCTTCCCCACGATCTGCGACCTCCAGTCTGTATCGGTTCGTGTGCTAACACCTCTCAATGCTTGTGACAAAAAGCTGTCTGTGATCTTCGGTTCTTTCGTAATAAATCACTCCAGATAACACCACGGGAACAGTCCAATATTTGATCAGGTGGTAAGACCGGTTTCCCGGCTTTGTGGTGCTTTTAACTATCCCAAAACACCTATAACTTGAGCCAATCTTAACCCACCTATGTTCCTTGAGAGGGTGGAGCCTAGGTCCCACGACTGCATGCAGCCTAGATTCCACGACTGCATGCAGCTTATCTACCACCCCCTGAAATATTGGACTGTCTGTTTGGGCTAAATAAAATTGAAAGCATCCAGTCTTCTTGTGTTGTTTTCCTCTGTCTCTTTCCTCCATAGATCATTCCAGTGGTCGCAACATGCCCCACTTCTTCTCCTAGCATTATTAGAAAGGATGATGAATGCCTCTTTCTGACGTTAATGATCACGTGTCTTCGAGTCAGTAACGAACGAGAAACGATGCAGGTCGACCCAGCCTAAAATGGGTACCAGGATGGCTGTCATAGGGAAGTAAAGACGACCGGCGTAATACCGACCACATTACACACGTAGTGTCGATTGGTCTGTAAAAATATTGGATGCTCTTCCTTTATGCTTGATGCCCATAAGGCGTGAAAAAGGATCTTTACTTACTTTACTTGATTTTAATAAGGGGAACTGGTTCTAATCCTTGTTAAGTTGTTGGGAGTTATTCCATAAAATTTAGAATTCTGTACTTTGTATTCTTCATATTCAAAGGCGTCTTTTAGTTGCAAGGGTTCATTTCCATGCTTCATTTTGCGAAAGCTGAAGTCGAGAGGATTGCGTCACTGTACTAGGTCTGGTTCAGTATGGCTGGTTCTCTCCTCTCATAACGGCTGTCGAGAGCAGAACACAATGCTCGAACTCTGTAGCCTCGGAGACATTCCTCCGGGATTTCCGTAAGACGTGCACTCGTGAACCAAACGACGCAGCCGTGAAACGAACCCACGACCTTTAGAGTGCGAGGTTAACGGCTTAACTAATGCATTTGATGAGAGACAGCGACGTATGCCAAACTATACATTGTACAGTCTGTTGTTTGTATCTTCTTTATTGAGGGATGAGGCGAGACAAGAACATTGACCTGATTTGTGACTATGGTGGTCGTGTGCGACAGCAAAACAGGACAAGCTTCTTCTTCTTCCCGTTCACCGGCCGCAAACTCCACCGGAAAGACCTGATTGTTTGTCCACTTCTAGACTTTAGTCTTGCTCCAGAACTTAAGTTTGGCCTGCATATCCCTTTTACAGATCTATCTTATTCGTACGCAGATTGTTGCTTCCTTGCCTCTCAGGCAGATGCACTTCGACTTTGAAGGAAAATACAAATTAGTCGACTAAAACGACATGCTTGCTAGAGAGGCAGTGGGTTGTCTTCTCCCTATGAATGAAACCCCTAATTAGTGGACTTTCACGACATGCTTGTCAGACATGCAGTGGGTATATTCTCTTCGCCCACATGTCCACAAAGGAAACATAACAGTCGACGTTTATGGACACGGCACATGATGACGATTACAAAGATCGCTTAATCCCCGTGTGGGTTCCGGGGCCCTTTTATAGGAAAAACAAGAATAGACCCACTGCCTACCCAAAAGCTGGTGAACATGAAGAAGAAGAAAAGGATCGCTTACCCCGAAGCATGACCTTGCCAAACAGAGAGGACCCGGTACTGAGTGTACTACAGTTCCAGCGCTGATGACGGAAGTGGTACTGGCACTCCTCAACTCCCAGCCGGACGCCTTCTCCCAGAGACACCATAACGTCAGGATGACGGCGACATAGTTTCCGCTGACGATCTACCAGTCCTGGAATGTTCTCACAGACCACGCCAGCTCCCAGGCCGTGGATATTCAGCTGACTTATAAACCTGAAGATTAGGTCGAGACCATGCAGCCACCACTTTCAGATTTATACAAGGGCGATGTGCCAGGGCCCTCTGGGAACAAGCAGAAGAGTCAGAAGCGAAACAAGATTAATATGGCCTGGAGAGAATAGGGCAACTGGTTGTAACCAGGGGGTCTGGCTGGCTCACTACACTCAGGGGAAAGGCAAGACGGACATCTAATCAGATAAAGAACGGTACCATTAGTATTCGAATTCTTCGCTGGCTGCTGAAGATGAGGACGGAGCACGCATGGTAATGCTCTGAGTGCTGTGATGTCAATTCTTGACTTAACTCAACTCTTTCCGATCCGCCATGACGCTTGATATGGCAACAATATTTCAGATTCCATGACAAGATACTGTTTACTATCAGGTCTTCCTTGGTGTTCAGCTATTTTAGGATGTCACTATTTCTCTTCTTTTTCATCTGTAATATTCTGAGAAAGTTTCTCTAGCATTTCAGCTGAAAAGCACAAACCGCATTCCGCAGTGACTGCAAGATAGTCCACGACTCACATTAGTATAGTGATATGCAATAGGAAAAAGACAGCACTCAAAACATCGCTGACCGTACACACTAATGATGCGGACACGGAATTACCCGACATTCACTGAAACGGAAAACAACTACATTGAGGAAAAGTGGGCTTCCAAAAGAAACTCTGTACGAATGTTGATGAGAATGTCCAACTTGTCTGACTAGATTATATACACGATATTTAAAACACAGCAAAATTGCAAAGGATAGAACGGTATGTAGGATCGACAGTCAGTTTGGTAGTTTTAAGAAGGCGAAATGATTACATTCATTGAGATAGGTTTAATCCTAGATTGTTGGGCATTTTTCATCAGAGAGGCTGGTGTCGAACAAAAAAGCAAGCACACTTAAGTTCTAGCAAATAGTGAAAGGTCTCAGATAATCCAGCTCACGTGACCCGAATGGCGGAGTCTGAAATCGAACCAACATTCAGAGCACGATGTAAACGGCTTAAACATATTGCCCAGCATGTGTGACATATAACGTCACAAGATCTTGTGGATGATAATAATGATGTTGATGATGGTTACGATGATGATAAGATGATGGTGGCGAAGGGGATGATCGTACACTATATAATGTGTTTTGAAACACGCAAGGTCCCTGTGTGAGCTCCGAAGCCCAGTTAAAGGGGTAAACAGGAATACACCCACTGCCCCATGAAAGGTTAGTTGCGTATCCTTTACAGGACGTTGCAGAACCAACCCCAGCAGTCCCTGGCTGTTGTGTGGTTTCTCAAGGCAAATTTAAGCCCAGTAGTTTGCTATTGCATCCTGGACGGTCGGCTTTCTTGATACCACTGTCGAAACCAACGCAAGGTGCATGGCCTGCAGCTGGAATCGAATCCTGCATCCCGGCATTACGAAGCGTTTGCATCGACTTAGCCACAGAGCCGACGCCCCGTTAAAGGGATTTGGTAAAATGCGACTAACTATGGGTTTGCTAAAAATCGATGGTACAGGCCGAAAGGTGCAGATATTACAGCTTAGCTAAAAAATGGGAACACAACGTGTTCATTTTTCCAGTAAAGGTGAATCTCGGAGGAACATGAAGACACACACGCTGTCTTGTCGAAAGAATATTAACAGCCTCAAAGAGTTGTCGATAAATTAAGTTTGGCAATTTCTGACGCTGTCTAGCAAATGAATGCCAACAGTCTGTCAGCGCAATGGAACTTTCCTTGTCGTTAACAAGGCGAAGTTCGCCGACAGGTTAACGAGAAGGGAATTTAGATCGTGTAAATTGGAGACGATTAGCTCTAAGTTTGTGGGGAAGTTAGCGTCTCGTAGGAAGGTGAGAGGCAAGTGGAGGCTAATCCAGGAGCATGTTACTGTGGGTTGTGGGTGTTGTAACATTACTGGAATGTGCCAAAAAGAAACCGGGATGGAGCAGAAAAATTTGGTCTGTGACAATGAATAAGTATATATATATATATATATATATATATATATATATATATATATATATATATATATATATATATATATATATATATATATATATATGGAAAAATTTGGTCTGTTACGATGAATATATATATATAGGGATGGTGTGATGGTGAGTGAGGATTCAGGAGGATATACAATACTGAATGGAAAACTTAGGTAGATTTTTGGTTCTTTATTAATATTTTACCCCCAGATGACGTCACAGGACAGTCAAACATTTTAGAGGGTGGTAAGACTGGGTTTTCCGGTTTTCTGATGCTTTTAACGACACCAAAACATCTAGAACTGGCCCTAAAACCAACCCACCTACATCCCAGGAGAGAGTGCAGCCTAGGTCCACGAATGCATTCAGCCTAGGTCCCACGACTGTATGCAACCTATCTACCACCCTTTAAAATATTAAACTGTCCCTTGACCTGTGGATTTCCCCTGTTTAGGGTAGGATATTAATAAAGCACCTGAATTTTTAATCAGACTGCATCTGTCACTATTAGTATGTACTAGAGGCAAATGCAGAGGAGGGGATAACTTGTGATGAAGGGAAAAGAGAAGAGATAACTAAGGATAATATGGAAATCTACTCCTTAAAATCTCGACTCCGAACCTACAAGAGCTCTCAACAATGTCGCGTGGCGAGCTAAACCCAACCGTAAGCTGCCTCAGTAGCAAGAAAAGAAAAGAGAAAAAGAAAGTTCGTTTAGGCGGGGGTAAAATCAAAGTATCTCGCCCTGGCAGCAAATCTTCTGTGTGGGGTCTAATATAGTTTAACAGTAAAACCTAGACATACTAACTAAAATAACACGAATG